AATGCCCTCCCCTGATAATGAGATTGATGACTGACTTATATGCCACCTGATAGCCCTCATCCAGCAGCTGGTGGAAGTAGAAGCAGACACCCACAACTAATCACTGAACTGAACTGGAATCCAGTTGCAGAGAAGGACGAGTGAAGAGCAAAGGGTCCAGACCAGGCTGGTGAAACCCACAGAAACAGCTGACCTGAACATCAGGGAGCTCTTGGTGCCCAGACTGATAGCTGGGATACCAGCATGGGACTGATCCAGAGCCCAGGAACGTGGGTTTCAATGAGGAGACCTCGGAAATCTCCAGGACCTCCTGAGGTAGTTCAGTACTTATCCCTATCATAGGTGTGGACCTTGGGAGCCCAATCCACATAGAGGGATACTCCCTGAGCAAAGACACACTGGGGTGGGCCTAGGCCCTATCCCAAAGGATATAATAGACTCTGAAGACCCCCTATGGAAGGCCTCACCCTCCCTGGGGAGTAGAAAGGATATGTGATAGGTAGGGTTTTAGTTGGGGGAGGGTGGTAGGGGAGGAGGGGAGGGAGTGGGAACTGGGATTGACATGTAAAACAATCTTTTTTTCTAATTCAAATAAAAAACTGTCAAAAAAAGAAAGAAAAGGAAAAAAAAAAAGATTATGTGCAGGTGTCTGATGCCTTGGGAAGTAAAGTGCAAACACAAAATGTGTCTAGCAGTTTTGGTAGGAACTTATTGAATAAAACCTTCTAGGCTAGGTGATATTCAACAATTCTTTGACTCCATCTTTAGTTACTTTCTTAGTTAATTGATCTATTCACATTTTCAACTGTGAGTTTAACTCATGATTTCGTGAAATTGAGATAGGTACTTTGCACTCAGAGGAATATACAGGTTCTTTTACATAATTGTTTGAATGAATACACAGAAAACCCCATAATGATGAAGTATACCTCCACTAAGATCAACTTTGCTCTTTTTTTTTTTAAAGATTTTATTTATTTATTATGTATACAACATTCTGCTTCCATGTATATCTGCACACCAGAAGAGGGCACCAGATCTCATTACAGATGGTTGTGAGCCACCCACCATGTGGTTGCTGGGAATTGAACTCAGGACCTCTGGAAGAACAGTCAGTGCTCTTAACCTTTGAGCCATCTCGCCAGCCCCAACTTTGCTCTTTATGTCATCTTCCAGTGCCAAGTTACTGAGGAACCAGGGATAACACTGTGCTAATGTGAGTTGCTCTGGCTGGGTTGGGACTCCCATCTGTCTTGGTCTTGTTTTGGGTCTCTTCTTCCAGGGCTAAGCACTAAATACTCATCTTGGTTGGTATGGTCTTAAGCTATTCAGTTTTTCTTTTTTGATTTCATGGAAGGTTTTTCTTATATAGCAGCTACTGTCTCTGGCTGTGCAAAGCTTCTCATCTCTCCAAGCAGTGAGAACTCTGTGTTTAGCTTGTTGCTGCTTTTCCTGCAAGACCAGCATTCTCCTGCTTTTGTGGCCAGGCACACCATTTATCCCCACCTCTTCAGTTTCTCCTGCACCTTCCTCTTGCACATTATTTCAAGATAGAAGTTTCTTCCACCCTGATTGGAGTTAAGGTAAAACAGATAACTTTGAACCAAATCTGCATGGAAATAGTTTTGTTACAGGCAGAGTATAAATGCCATGATATTTTCTGCCAATGATATCCAATGCCGTGCTTCTCTCCATATCATCAGGTGATAACTTTGGGTCTTACTGTTTTATCCTGCTACGAAGCAGGGTTCTCACATGAAAAGCTCTATGGTAAATTAATTTTGGAAGGTTCTGGATTAAAGTCATATTGTCTTTTTTGCTAACCAACCCCCCAGAACCGTAACTGCAATGTTAATTTCTTCCGTGTATCTCCCAAGTGAGTATTAGCATTCTGCAAAACACATTGGAAATGTTCCTTTCCTTGCTCCAGTTAGCCAGCCTCAGTGTCTTTTAACCTGAATGAAGCTAGTCTGGTGTCAGCATGGGGTCAGACCCAAAAGCAACCCAAATCAAAGCAAAACAACAAAATACTAAAAAACCCAAACCCAAACTGCAACAAAATACCACCCGCTTCTCTTCAGAAAGCAATATGTGCCTGTCAGGGTAGATGCTCTGGAAGAGGGAGCAGATGGAGACTATGCACTCAGCAGCGTCTTTACAAACTTCTTTTCCTACTGACTCCTGCCACCCCAGCTGCTTTCACCATCCCTCCCCCTTTCTGCAGACTCCAGCTGTTTGATTTCTCCTCTTGCCTTCTAGATTTGTGACATTCTTTCAAGATGTGCTTCTTGCCCCTGTGGTGTGGCATTGGAGTGCTGTGGTCTCTGTCCTGCCAATTTACAGATTAGAGCCAAAACGCTTAGACTCCCCTGATTCTGTGATTCTAGGTAGCAAAGTTCGTTAAGGTAGAAGATAGTGTTGTTAATGGCAGCACTTACCTTCTTCTACCTTATATGAGATGCATGGGAGATGATGGGAATCGAGTAAGACAATTTTCAAGACTCCTAAATTATTATAATAATCCTGAGTCTAGTGTGAAACAGGATCTGTCTATGTAGCTCTGTCCTGGAGCTTGCTTTGTAGACTGGGCTGGTCTCGAACTCACAGAGATCCTCTTGCCTCTGCCTCCTGAGTGCTGGGATAAAGATTTCTTGCTTGAAAGGAGATGTTGTTTAAGCCTGTTTAGCCTCCTTGTTCTGCCTCCTTAACTGTCCTCCTTTCCCCAAGGTGCCATGCCATTTCATACTACTCTCTTTTTCCTTTCTTTCTTTCTTTCTTTCTTTCTTTCTTTCTTTCTTTCTTTCTTTTTTTTCTTTTCTTTTCTTCTCTTCTTTTTTCTTTTCTTTTTTTTTTTGAGACAGTACGGCAATTTGGGGGTTTGGGATGGTGCCGCTCACTGGGGACCCGACTTTTTTTCCATACTACTTTCTTTGATGAAGACTTCTTTGACCATTAAAGCCTGTAGTGATCTTATCAACAACAGTAACTGAATTAGGCTTATTTAACACTCATGTTGTGGAGGAGAATGATGTGGCAAAGACAAATGACAAAGTTCTAACTCTTGAAGGATATTCTATTTTCAGTCATAGATCATTTTCTTTGCTATTGAGCACCACCCACTAAAATTGCCTCCTAGAGTTGTGCAATTTGGGAGGTGGTCCGATTAAGTTAATTTGTTGTTAAATTAATTTGTAATTATGCTACTTTCCCCCCTTTTTTACAACCCAATTCTATTTTTTGAAAGTAAGGATTATATTTTGACTATGTTGGTATCTTTATGCAGAATTTATCATGCTGATTTTCCTTTAATCAAAATTCAGGAAGTACTTGAGTCATTGAGCTGACTTTACTGGTGAGATTATTAAGCTAGCGTATACACTGTTGGGAGAACAGCTGGACACTGATTCCTTATGCACTATGGTGAGAGAGCGAAGGGGCCAGTAGAACACCCAATTATATGAAACTTGCTAGAACATTTAAAAAAGGTTATCTCAAAGTACCAGAAAAAACATCATTGACACAAAAACTCCTCAGGGTTCTTCAAACTGCCAAGGAAGTGATGTTAAAGTCATAGCCTACTAGAAATCTCT